GCAGCAGCTCTCCCACCAGGACACAGCCGGCTGTTAGCGTCAGTCCAGGTAAGTGTAGCCTCCAACCTTGGGACTGCTTGGGCAGAGCGTGGTAAATAGAGCTCTGTCGTTGGAGTGTCCCATTTGCAGCCCTAGCTCTCTTGAAGGATGACACGAGGTGTACTCTTGGTGCATTCATTTTACACACTCAAGACTTTCTAAGGGGAAAGGTCCAGGTTAGAAAACGGTACAATCTGATGTGCTTTATGGCCGATTGAAGTCAACAGCGAGCTCTTACTGTTCTGATGGCCTTAGCAGGACCTTTGTGCTGCCCAGGGCGAAGAGCCAAACTTTCAGAAAGTTCCATCTAAGCCCTTAAATGAAGTTAAACTGCTGTCGTTTTGAAGTCAAAAGTTTAACTCGTGGACTCCCAATAGAAAAGCCTCTCTGGTTGATCACTGAGCAATTTGGGCGCTCATCCACTGCTAATAGATACAGAGTTAAGCACTCTGCTATGTAGTGTGAAATTAGGCATTTGAAATCTCTGCAACTCATCTTTGCAGATGAGAAGTCATCTTGCATTGTGTTGGGGAGTGGGAAAAGCATATATCACCATTAGGAATCTCAGCTGAATTTCTGAGGACATTGGGATGAAGTATTAAGGGCCCCTCCCTTGTCACTGCCAAACCAAAATGATTTGTAGATGGTCGTTTAAACATCAGAAAAACTTTGTGCCAGCTCTAGGGACATAAACCCTTCCAGCCCCACCAGCCTAGTGCTGGAAAGGTGAGGGGCTGAGCTCTTCTGCATTTTTACTGAAAGGCCAAGATCTTGTAAGGTGGAGTGATCCTGTGTGTTGGAAGAAGGTGGTTCCTGGAATCACTGTTCTTATAGATCAAAAAAAATCACTAAATTATTGATAGCTTTAAATTTTCCTACAGGCGGGAACCACACAACACGCTGAACCCAGTGAAGTTGCCCAGCTCGGCACTGGTGGGACTGGGATCTCAAGCTGCGCCTTTTGCTTAGAAGCAAAGTGACAGCATCCTTCTAGCAACACATTCAAATAAAATAACAGCAGAAATGACAAGCTTGAAATCCCAGCTCAGTGGTCTCCAGTTATCCAGGATATCTTGTCAACTGGATTAAGTGTCATATCCCACGAGGGTTACTGTGATAAATACCTGCCGATGTCTCAGCTGGGTGCAGCAGCGGGTGCCATCCATGGCTTCTCACCCCGGGGAGGGCTCACCTATGGGCTACGGTAGGAATTTACAGCAGGGGAAAAAAAAAA